CCCCAAAACCCCAAAACCCCAAAACCCCTAGGTATATTTGTGCTTAAGAGTGATTGAGAGTAAGAGAATTATATATAAATAAGTAATTATTAACAGACATCTAAAAATTTAAATTTTAGCAAACATTCAAATTTAAATCATCAAGATGCAATAACAGCATATTAACATCAGAGACGACAATAATTGCAACATCTCTTCACAAACTGCACATACAGAAAATCTATCTAAATCCCTACTTAATCAGTATAATAATCTCAACTAGACACCTGTATCCAAAAATAATAACGCATTTAAATCTCCAGCACCTTCAAGCAAGAAATACTTAAGTGTGCATAATATAAAATCACCAGGAGTCTCGAATCATGGCAAAAATGGTATGTCGAACTCTAAACATCATTAAAACTAGACCGATAGTTGGATGATCTCTCCAGTTTGCTCTAGACTAAGAGAGCACATCTAAATGATGAATGGATATGCTCAAAAAGAGAGGCTGTTCCTGCATTCACCAATGACTAATCAGATGGCTTGGCCGCTAGCTTCACCAGCTATTAATAATATGAGAGGTATAGCCCAAGTTTCCACTGCTCCAAACACCTCTACTTGTCAGAAATATGTCACTAACAATACATAGGAAGCGTTTAGTGATGCTAAAGTTATTGAGGGAGTTGATTCCCCTCTTGTAATCAGAAAATTTAATGATCATGAGATTAACTAAACAGGATTGCTATGTACACTCAATAAAAATCATTAGTAGTCTGATAGTAAAAATCAATAGGAACAACATTGGAAGAATATTTAGGACTACATTCCATATAACTTTGATGAAGTATGCTTTAGGTTAGAGAACTAAGCTGATCAAAACAAACTAAACTCCCTTTAGGGCAGTAATAGAAAAGATATCTAGGTCCTTAAATTACCTAATTCTGGAAATATGGCATTTAAGCTCAATCTAGCATAGTCTCACCAACCATAGCCCTCTAATAGTATTAATTAGATGGTCTTTTACAAGATGGAAGATGATATGAATGAGGATAGTTACTCCTCTGATAATATGGACAATGATAATGACAGTGAATCACTCTAACAATAAGTATCAGACAACATGAAAAACTGCAAAAAACTAATTAGCAGATGTTACAGTGGACAAGATAGTGCAAATTATGAGAGAATAATACGTAAACGTAAAAGAAAGTCTACTGACTAGCTTAAAATTTTAATGAGAGAATTCGATAGAAATCCAAATTGGTCAAAGGAGACGTTACTTGAGGTTTCTAGAAAAACAGGGCTGAGTGAGGCCTAAGTTTACAAATGGGGATGGGATTAAAAGAGAAAGAAATACGGACCAGAAATTGCTGCAATGATGATGGTTCCTTTTGATTAAATGGACTTCTAGGACTCTTATTAGCCATCTTAATTTATTGATTACGAGGCGCTTCAAATGTAAGGCTAGGGAAACAATTTCAAGTAATTGATTTAAGAAAATAATCATTCTTCGAAAAGATAAGGTTTCAGCCACATTCCTTTCCCAAATGAGAGCTTATTAGATCAATTGTCAAACCAACTAGCACATGAAGAATCAATCACCTAAAATCAATTGAATATAAGTAAATAAGAATAAAATCAAGCTAAAAAGACTCTAAGTTCTGAAAAACCAGCTGAGTTAAGAGTCAAATCTGCACTAAAGAGAACTCTAGATTCTTCTAAATCAAGCAAAAATTAGCCAAGAATAACAGTAGAGAACAATGAGGACTAGGTTAGAGTAAGAATCTAACTTGATTCAAATGAGAAGAACCATAAATCAGGTAATAAGAATCACCATAGCACGCTTAAAATCAATCCAGACTCTCAAAAAAATGATTCTCTTCTAATTAATACTCCAGCTAACGACCATGCAGGCGAAAAGAAGCGATAACTTAAGGCTGAGAGTAAAGAAAAGAGCAGGCTTCACAAGCACTCCGATGAAAATAAAGAAAATGGGAAAGCCTACGCACCAGTTTTAAATTTAAACAAAGATCTCAACAAAATAAGCCTTGAAAGAGATCAAAGAAAGACTAGATCAGGCAAAACTGTATAAATTAATCCATCAAAAATTCTGGAAGATTGCACTCCAGAGCCAATTTTATAGAACGATAAGAAAAAACTAAGAGAGCAAAGAGTTCTCAGAAAAATTAATAATCGTTGATATAAATGTGCACTATAATATCTAAGTTTTAATTGACTTAACTTATTATTAACTTTACTAATACTTGATTCACACTCACGGGGTTTTGGGGTTTTGGGGAGATCGGAAGAGCGTCGTGTGA